GAATTACTGAAATAAATCTACTTTTTCATGATATTCTAATTTTATGACCAGCACCTGTATATGCTGCTTTAAATAATATAGAAAACAAAGTGGTTAGATCAGTTTTAACATTTTTTTCCCTGAAAAACAGGATTTTTTAATATCAGAACCATCTATTTTAAAGAAAAGTGACCAGATTTACAGTAGGTCACATAAACACACATTAAATATCTGCACAATTGTTTTACAGCGTATATTGTCATGAAAAGATCCAGGGAGAAAATTAATGCATGTGCTTGACCTTTGACCCTTGAGGAGGCACTTCATGAAAAMCCTTTAATAATTAGAGGTATGTGAGTGAGGATGTGTCTTGGTTCAAAACAATCTGATAATAAATTGTTTRAATATTAAACACACACATATAAACATGTAGACACACGTCCTGACCTCTGATCAGATTCATTTGAATAAATACTGATTTTAATCAGGCTCCTGTCTTATTAATTGAAAGCAGACTTTTTTTGTTCTCATATTTGCATATTGCACCGCTCTCCATCCAAACTCTCCCCTMACGCTCAGAAAGTCCCTGCAGATGTGAAAATGTCATCTGCTTCACTACAAACCCAGAAGTCGTGCTCACACAAACACAGCTGCTTCTGCAGCTGTCCCCATCTCCACTTTGAGCCTTTMGTCCCTGCACTCGGGCTTCCTCTTCACAAACCTCTCTCGCAGCTTCTCTGCACGCTCTCAAACGGCGGTGAAGCACAAGTTCCAGTCAGAYGTGTCGCTGACATCATTTCCCCTCTGTGGGTGGCCTTGTTTCTTCTCACAGTGTCCCACCTGGGTGAGTATTGGTTTACTGACCTCAGCTGATCGTRCATACAGTAGCTACTTTTTGGTTTTCTTAACCAAAAATGGAACTCATACAGGAGAGGTTTTCATCATGTTTTCATTCAGTCTTATTTATTATTATGCAATTTAGTTTGTTCCATTTAATGATGCTTTTTCTTCTTTTTCTTGCTTGTCAGACATTTTTAAAACACTAATAAAGTTCAGGTGTATTAACAGGTAGATGGCAGTGTAGGTAAAAACTAATAACTCATGAATATTATCTGAGTTTAAAGTATTTACTCTAAAATATACACAGATTGTTGTACAGGAGATCACATTGTCTTTGTGTTTGTCTCATTTTCTAGACTAGAGAAATAACTATTTTAAAGCGTGAATTTTAAAACAGAAGCCCTAACATTTTTATATGTGCTTCTTTTAAAACCTCTATACAAGTGGATTCTTTTGTTTCTTGATGAGATTGACTTGACTACAAATGATTAAATTAGGTGTTAGGAAGTCATCTGCTGAAATGTGCTGTTCAGTATTTGTCTTGAAGGATCCCTGCGAAATTTAAAAAAAAGGCCACCCACAAGGGGGCAACAGCTTCATAATCCATCATTCAGTTTGTTTTGGAGGACAAACGGACCCCTAGTTTCTTATCAAACATGCAACTCATCGAAGCCGCTGTTGGTTAAATGTGTAAAAAGTAACATGTGTGTCATGTTATGGGGAGGGATCAGAGCTTGTTGATGCAGATGTTAGTCAGTCTCACTCATTTTCTGGACTGACAGTCCTGTTCTGGGACTCTGAGGCTCATTTCAGAGGTTAGGGATAAAACACACAGCAGGTAAAATAAGTATTGAACATGTCACCATTTTTCTCAGTAAATATATTACTAGAGGTGCTAATG